TTGTCACTCTCAATTAAACTTCTTTTCCTCTTGGAAAATGAAGTAGAGAATTCCTCTATAACCTCTTTTATCTACTTAGGAAATATTAAATTCCTACCTGCACCATCACTATTTGAAACACATGTCATTGCCTTCTCATCATCATTGTCGCTAATGAGAACAACAATTGATCAAAGACACACTATGTCAGGTACTGTATCCAAGTTATTCTCTCCAAGTTCATCCCGAGTAATAGTACCACGAGGATAATCACCAAAGCCACCAGACAGCTTTATGATGCCAATGAAGCAAGATGAGTTATTCAATGAAACTCGTATTGTAAAGAAGAAGAAAGAGACTGATTCAGAAAGGTGGGTCGAGGGTCGAGCCTCGACTATACATGTAAGCTTTTTTACCTTTCATTAAATATTTTGATTTACTTTTATATAAATTTTGAAATACTAATTCAATATAATTTTTCTTATAGGTTCTCTTCACAGCTGATTTGGGAGAATTCATACGCAGTCAGCCACCTAATGAGTCGGGCAAGGCAATCCAACTTTCGGACGAGGATGCTGAAAGAACACTCCTTGAGTACTTTATATACTTTGAACTAGACAATAGAACCAGTTTTCGAATGGGATTGTAATAAGCGTTAACTTAGTGTTGTTAGCTTAATGTGTTAGTTCTATTGAACTTTATACTTTGTTGCTTTTAATTGTTGTTGTTGTTGGCATAAAATGTCTGTTTAGGATTTTTGATAAGCTGGCAGGTGGTGTAGCTGCCAGAACAGGCAGTTTCTGCCAAAAATATACCAAGAAAAGTGACCAACTTTGGTCTCTAGTTGGTCGCTTTTCACTTAAAAAAATAATTTTCTGGGCAATAGCGACCAACCTTGGTCGCTACCTAACCCAGATTTCTCAAAAGAGCGATCAACTTTGGTCGCCATTCCATTTTAAAAAAATAATTTTCTGGGCAATAGCGACCAACCTTGGTCGCTACCTAACCCAGATTTCTCAAAAGAGCGATCAACTTTGGTCGCCATTCCATTTTAAAAAAATAATTTCTGGAAATATTGCGACCAAAATTGGTTGCTTATTATTTTAAAAAAATTAATTCTTGCAGTTTGCGATCAATTTTTTCTCTTATTTTAAAAAAAATTTATAAAAATTAATAATAAAGCGACCAACTTTGGTCTCTATTTTTCAAATTTTTTAAATATAATATTTTTTGCAGACCAAAATTGATCGCTTTTTATGATTAATAATAAATAAAAAAACGTAATTTATATTTAGAGACCAACGTTGGTCGCTAAATTTATATTATTAAAATAATATAGTGACCAACGTTGGTCGCTACTTTCTTTACAGAAATATTTGGTCCTTTTACCTTAGAGACCAAAGTTGGTCGCTAAGACCAAAGCTGGTCGCTAATTAGCGACCAACTTTGATCCCTAAAGTAAAGGGACCAACTTAATATCGACCAGCCCATTTTAATCGCTATTTGATCGCTTTTTGTGGTCGCTTTTTTTCGGATTTCTAGTAATGCCATCTCCAGCCGTAACTCTTTTTTAGGAGCAGTCCCCCTATTGATTAAAACTGAAATGAATCCGAGTTTTTCATTTCAAATCGAAACATCATTAATGGAATTTTTATAAAGTTTGAAGGTTTAAAATAGGTTACTTGATTTGATGAAAAATTAATAAATTAATATTGGGATTGTCTTCGAGTCTTGGTAGAGAATCTTTAATTGAAGTTACAAAAAATTTGGAGGAGTTTTTCGTAAAATTTTAGATTAAAATCATGATTGGAACAAGAATAGACACGAAGATAGTGAAGAACACCAAGAACAAAACAGGATTAATGACTGACGTTGGTGGGACTTCTAGAGTGTAAACAGACTTCTCTATTTACACTCTATTGACCAGAGTCTCGAACTCAATAAACAGAAGTTATAAAAGAAAAAGAAAAAGAAAAAAATCAACAAATTAAGTTGTTCAGGTGTTCAAACATGTACAAGACAATAATTTAATGCAGGGCTGGACGGCTAGTGATATACGTGGACCCTGTGATCCCATGAAATTCAACTTGAAAACTCTTTGTTACTATTATGTGTAGCTTCCTGGAAATTATCCATGGATGTAAGAATTGGAAAGTTAATCAGCATTTTAAAATAGTTTTCTTTTTTTTAAACTCAAAATGATATATATTCTTTTTTTATTTGTTATTCGCCACGTCAGTTACGAGTGCATTGCACACTTTGTAAGTTTTGCTAATTGTACGAAAAAATGATGTCGAACTTTAAGTGTCCCCATATATATATATGTATATTCGTAAAGAACCACAACTACTAAGGTACAGAACAAGCCAGCCTACATTCTTAGGATGAAAAAAGGGCTAGCAACCATATATGCACAGAGCTCTCCTAATATTTACACTAGATAAAAGATAGAGCTTAACTTATACAGAAGCTGAAAGTGAGTTTTGGAAAAAAAAAAAGTACTAGTAATTAGTTTTACTGCCCGGTGCCGGTAACACCCAAATCCTGTTTCTTGTCCTCATCTTTGCCGGCGCCGAAAACCGGACCACCTTTGCCGGCGGCATCATCCACCTTGTCTTGAACTTTATCAATTTGGATCCCTTTTTCATCTTCACGAGAATGAATGTCCATTCGAGGCTTGTTGTCATCTCTTGTTACTGATTCGTACGTTGTTTGTGTTCGAGATTCCTTTGGCTGTGCTCCTTGAGCCCCCGACATTTTCTTTCAAAATTTTTAACTTCGGAAGTTTGAATTGTCTTCCCTGCGTATATTGCACTTAATTGTTTTAATCTTGTGAATTTGTTCCAATACTCGTCTACTGCAACATTATCTAGTTTCATGATCAGCTGAATTTGTTAATAAACTTTGCTAAGGTCGCCACGTTTCATTTGGAAAGCTCATGTGGCGCATGCATATGTAGGAGCTTGCACCCTTACGTGTAATCTCTATCAAATACTTTGAAACTTCATTTTACGTGTACAAATACACATATGGATAAGAGACTGCATTTTTTAAAAGTAAAAGACGCAAAATGTATATTTTAATAAGTACAGTAATATCTTTTATTTTAAAGTAGAAAAGCGCAAAAGAGAACAACAACAATACCGTCCACATGGGACTTGAAGCAAAAAGCAATAAGAAATATATTATATTATGGATGCATTTAGTATTCCGTTTTAAATAAGCTTCTTAAAGAAGCACCGTAAATATATTTATTTATTTAATATTTTGTTAGAAATAAGTCTTCTGAAGAAGTTTATCATTTCGGTACTCCGTTATGGATAAATATTACCTCCGATAGAAGATTATCTATATTTGCTACAATAACAACTTACAAGAAGCTTACACAGCGGCTTGTAGTAGCAGTTTACGCAACAACTTACAACAGCAACTTCCTTTCTTCTATAAATAGAAGGGATTTTAATTCATTATGTACATCAGTTTGAAGTTGGATAATATATCAATCTATTGCTATACTTGTGTTCAGTTAATTTACTTTATAATTTTTATCTTATAACACGTTATCAGCATGAGACTCTGTCATTTTAAGCACTTACTTTGAATTTGATTTTCGTATCCCAAGTGAATATATAGTGGAGCTTTAAAATTAAGTTTAAGTTCTGACCAATTGAAGGGTTGAGATGCTGGCAGTAACATTCTTCCCGGTTGAAGATATGATAGTTTCGCATGACACATGGTTGTCTTGTGTGGTATTACGATCATAACTGTTTGATTTCAATTAAATTTTGCTTGGCTATATTGTTTGAAAGTGTTCCAACACTAAAGTCACGCTCCTGGTTATGATGATTTCATGAGCATCATCGTCTATCATGTCTAAAACTTAAGCACCACTTTAAAAGTATTTCATGCTTATTGGGTAACGTTTTTACCTTAAATTGAAGTCCTACAACTTGATTCTAAAGGCGAGCAAAGAAAATAAGTTTGGTTGCAACTCTGGTAGAGTTTAAAAGTAAAATACAATCATCAGAAAAGGGTAGATCTCATATATTTCAGTGTAACTAAATTTATTAACCATCAGAAGCGGTATATGCCTATGACTGCCAGAAATGGTAATTTAGGCTTGCTATGGTTATAATGAAGATAAGTTAGAAAAACTTCTCTATATTATATGCATACCTCGATTTGCTCCTGAAGTAGCAAATATCTTAAAAGAGGTTCGAAGCAATACAATTTGATGTGATTATGCACGTTCAGATAATTATGTTTTATTCCCTAAAGGATGAGAACTTTGATAAATATTGATTAATTCCCAGAAGTGAATGTGACAATGAAAACAACAAATGATTGAAAGAATGAAAATCTTCTTGTTTCCACAATCATAGGAGGTAAATATGTATGTGAGAAGTTACCTGCCTTATTCTTTAATTTGTACTACATCACGTGTCATAATAACATAGAAGTTTTTACCAAGGCAAAAATAGCTACAATAAATGAGAAATTTACCGATACAAAAGTCAACTCAAACGGGCTCCTAATTTCTCCTGCATTATCAAGCCTTTTTAGTGGAATAAAAGGATCATGAAGTTGCAAATGCAAATCATCCAGCAAATACATAGTCATAATGCAATCACCAAGCAAATATGTAGTACTGTACTTTTTATATTTATAAATTGAGGAACCACTTTAGATTTGGTAATGTTTAAGTTATCATTCCATTAGTAACATTTTTGAGTTACCTTACACGAGTTAGTATTAGTTTAGTTTGCTAAGGATATAAACTTCTAATGATTGTTAAAATGGGTTATTTGAGATAGAATTTGATATATGCTATAAGTTACTCATTATGGTCGTTTATTTACTGCCACAATCTACTAAATTTTTATTTAAATAACAAAATCATATTATAAACCCTCATTAAATATTATTTTTAAATATTGAGACTCATATTGTGAAGGTTATAAACCGTCATTAAGTGTCTTTAAACATCACTACAGATTCAATACTTAATTTGTGTGAGTCGCCATAGAGGTTTTTAAAAGCCGCCGCAATATTGCTCGTAGCAATCGTAATTGTCGAGTTTTTAAAAACTGTCACAATTTATTTTTTGGGGGATAAAATAATATGAAGGATATTTTGGGAATTCTTGCTTTTCTAGATTTGTTGATGTCACGATCCCAAAATTGACCCGATTGTGATGGCGCCTAACGTGAAATTAGGTCAGCCAACTTGTTTCCAAAACAAACCACATTTCCATTTAAAACTTGAGAAAAACTATTTTTTCAATAGAATTTCGATAATAATATAAAATTCAATTTAATAAAGCGGAAAAATACAAGCCCGACCTCGGGCGTCACTAAGCCATGAGCAACCCTACAATAGTTCCGAAACAAGACAAGACCACAATAGTCTGGAAATAACATCAATGTACTAATAGGAAGATAGAGAAAGAGAAAAGCGGAACTGTGAATTGCCAAGCAGCTACCTCGCTATCTCCGTGAAGTCTGCGACCTGAATAGTCAGCAACTAATATCATGCCCTGAGATACCTGGATCTGTACACAAGGTATAGGGGGTAATGCGAGTACACCAACTCAGTAAGTAACAAGTTCAAACTATGGACTGACAGGTAGTGACGAACCAAACCTCGACAGGTAATACAAATATAATATACTGAAAAGTAGACATGCTTGCAGTTCAAAATAAAACTCAGCAGCAAATAGATACAGTCTGAACAGTACGAAGTAATAAGCTCAGGAATCTCTATGTATCAATGCACAGATAACACGATCAATGTTCTGTGTATCTCCACTCACAAGTGCTCAACCACTCAGTACTGTATATGGTCATCCGACCCAGGGAAGATCCATCCCGGAATATATATACACATCACTGACCGTAGTCCCCCAGTACCGAGGAAGGCCATTCCAGCCCTTTGGAGAATATCCATCTCCAGATATAAATACTTCGGACAAGATCCATGTCCATGGAAGATCCATCCCTCAATAACATCAATTGCGCTCACTGGGGGTGTAAAGACTCCGGAGGGGCTTCTCTTAGCCCAAGCACTATAGCAAGCTAACGAAGACATGTTCAATATCTCGCTGCAGTGTGCAGCCTGATCCCATACTGTTACTCAACATCAGGCTATCGTCCTCACTCGGTCATCACTCTCCAGTCTCACACACACGGGCTCAAAATGTCATGATACTATTCTGGACAATGATATGATGTGCCTGTCATGACCCTAACCCCGAACCCGGTCGTGATAGCGCCTCTCGTGAAGACAAGGCCAGCCAATTTATACAATTCACCCTTTTACATAGTTAAATAACATAAAGATACTTCAAACATGATTCAATAGCAATTAGCGGAAATAGAGATAACAAACGGAAACAACCCCAACACAGCCCCTCGAATTGTCCTTCACGCATGTCGAATCTATCCAAAATCAGAACGAATACATCACAATATGCTAAGGCAGTAAAGCCCAAGTGAAAACAATCGAAAAATATCGTAAATCCCGAAATTAGCAGAACCCGAGCCCTGGGCCCACATCTCGAAACTCAGAAATTTTTACATCATTAGATTCTTTATTACCCCACGAGTTCATACATATCAAAAGTTCTCAAATCTGACACCAAATGGTCCTCCAAATCCCCAATTAAAGATTCAAAATCCCAAGCCCTAGTTCTTCCATTTTTAGTTTAAGTTCCATGATTTTTCTAGGTGGATTTTACAATAGATTCGAGTTTTAGATTCGAAAATCTTACCTCCAAACGTTTCTCCTTGAATGCCTCTTCGTTTTCCTTCAAAAAGCTCTCAAAAGTACCAACTATGGAGGAAAAATGACCAAAAATCGTGGATGAAATAACTTAAAACATTCTGCCTAGGGGTTTTCGCATCTGCGACCCCACCACCGCACCTGCGGTACCGCTTCTACGGTTATTTTCTCCGCATCTGCGGAATCCACTTGACGAGCCAAAATCGCATCTGCGGTACACTGCCGCATCCGCGGGTCCGCATGTGCGGTTCCTATTCCACATCTGCGATTCCTGACCTCTCTCCTCAAATCCGCATCTACGGAAATTCCTTCGCACATGCGATGCCGCACCTACCGTCCCCAAACCCCAGGTGAGGAAATACCAGAAACAACAATCTTCTGAAATCTCTTAAGTCCAAAATCTTCCCGTTAACCATCCGAATTCACCCCGAGGCCCCCACGACCTCAACCAAAAGCACCAACATGACCCAATATATTATTCAAACTTGTTCCAATCATCAAAGCACCTCAAACAACATCAAATTACTCAAAACACATCGGATTCAAGCCTAATTTTTGAGAAATCTTCTGAAATACGTTTTCTATCAAAAACCCAACCAAAACATGTCTGAATGACATGAAATTTTGCACACATATCCCAAATGACATAACGAAGCTACTGTAACTCTCGGAATTCCATTCTGACCCCCGGATCAAATCTCGCCTATCAACCGGAAATCGCCAAAATATCAACTTCGCCAATTCAAGCCTAATTCTACTCCGGACCTCCAAAACCAATTCCGATCATGCTCCTAAGTCATAAATCACCCAACAAAGCTAACCAAATGATAAAAATTTTGTTCTGAGCTCATATACAAATAAGTCAACTCTTGGTCAAACCTTTCAAATTCAAAGCTTTCAT